ACGGTAAACGTCTGGAAATGATACCGATAAGTCCCACTTTTGCGGTAATCGACAAAACAAGCCTTAGAAAAAGATGTATAAAGAAGTTTTCAAGAGGAGACTTAAAATTTTTCTAGAGAAACACTCGGAAATATTTGTTAAATTTCCTATTATATTATTTTACACACAAGTTTACAGATCTTCATACAAATCAAAGTTCACCCCAATCAGAACCCGATCAGACCTAATCTAACTAATCTAACTAAATGAAATCTTCTTGATGCGCTGATATTCCCAAACATCTATTATACACCAGAATGTAATTTCTCAAATTTATCTTGCCACCAATAACAATATAATCCCGCGAACAAGTTTCTTCACGCTTCACGGAGCTCAGAAGGAATCGCAAGCGATGTATAGATCCATCCCTTGCGTTCCTTTGAACTCCCCTACATAAACGCGTCTCCGGGGAAAGTCCCACACCGTGGCCGATGATAGACGGGTGCTGTCGAGCTTCTTTCTTTTTTCCCTCGTCTCACATTACCGCCCAGGATCTATCGAATACTTATCGCAACGACCGGGAATACCTTCCGGAAAGAAGTCATCTGCAGCCCATCGTACCCTCGGCGTCGAACCGCCGAGACAAAACGAAAAGCAGATCAGTCGGTCCTCGATAAGAGCACGCGAGCAATGGTGGGGTGCGGATCGCGCGACGACTCGAAGCTCACGACGACGAAGAAGAAGAAGACGATGAAGAGGCGGAGGAAGATGAAGAGAGGAAGGTGCGGGATAAGAGAGAGCGAGCCAGCTCACCTTGGCGCCCATGGTATGCGCCCATTGGCGTCTCTCGCATAGGCGTAATGTAACCAACCGTCTCTCCGTGCCGGTTGATGACGTTTCGATAAGAAATCGCAGCGGAGAGAGAGAGAGAGAGAGAGAGAGAGAGAGAGAGAGAGAGAGAGAGAGAGAGAGAGAGAGAGAGAGAGAGAGAGAGAGAGAGAGAGAGAGAGAGAGAGAGAGAGAGAGAGAGAGAAAGATAATAGTCAGCCGCGACGGCGGCCTTTACGGCCATTTATACGGCCACGCCGTATCGCATCGCCGTGGAACGAGGAATTTTACGCGCACTGCGTACGACGCAGCGCGTAACCCCGTTACGACGATCCTCGCGTGTAATTGTATTTTTGTAAATCTTCCTTTTCGCTTCTTGACGAAGCGGCGACTCCGCGACCGGGAGGTGTCGTCGCTGCGGTCCCGAGGAAAAATTGCGCGTTTCTTGATCGAGCTGCTGCGAGCCGACGAGAGACGCGAGTGTCTGCGCCGCGCGAGTTATTATTCCTCGCCGCTGCTTTACGACATGTCTCATTTTCATCTTTGTCGTTAGGCAATTGTTGCAACGCGCAGAGGACGTTCTTCGTGGGACGTTTCAAGCTCGACCAGAGGCCGCGTTGGAAAGCATCGATAAAAATGCGCGTTTCTTCCAATCAGCCGTTTCTCATCTTTCCAAGTAGAAGAATGCTCACGTGACCGGCGATTGAAACTAAACGCGCGATTTATGCTGGATTTGGCATTCCGCGTGATCCTCGAGCATAAATCAGCACGAGGCAGAAAATGTGAGGGATCGATAAGCAGCATTCTCGCGCGTTCCTCAGGTTCGACTGAACCTCGCGCGTCTCTCTGAGATTCGAATCAATCTTGTCGAGAGAGAGAGAGAGAGAGAGGGGGGGAAGGAGAGAGAGGGGGAGAGAGAGGGAGAGAGAGAGAGAGAGAGAGAGAGAGAGAAAGAGAGAGAGAGATACGAGGTCGAGTCCGCGCGGCGTTTCCTTCGGCGCGTATTCCCTCGCTGCGGACTCGCGCGGTTGCGTGAAAAGTATGCCAGACGCACACGCCTGCAATTGCCGCGGTGCAATTAGCGGTCAATTTCGTCGCTCGAGGCGTGAATATGGAAAACAGAATGCGCGTTTGGTATGCTGACACATCGCTGAATCGCATGCAACGGCGCTCAATGGGCTGCGTAACACGCAAAAACGTTACGTATTCCGAGCGGCCGGCACGAAGAGAAGACAAGAGAAAGAAGTCGGAAGGCAAAGTAGCGTTGTTCTGTCGCCGTCGTTATCAGCTAAGTCGGCTTATCAAACCCATTCAAATCCGAGACCGGCAAAAAATCAGCATTCCTAATTCTACGGCGATATCCTCAGGCGCGATAAGAGTCTGCCGGCTTGACGAGAGCGCGAGAAATTCGTCGGTCGATTTTCCTCGCTCCCGAGGGAAATCCCCGAGCGGCTGGCTGAACGAGGTCCCACCTGTTCCTCGGCGAGGCGAGAGACACACACAGCTGCGTCGGGAAAATCGCGATGCTGCTCGACAACGTTGATACGTCGTCGGGTCTTTCTTTTCCGTTCGCACTCGGCGGGATTCTCAGGATCGCGCCGCGAGTTTTCAGCTGAGCCTCTTCGTCGACGCGGCTCTTCTTTCCCGAGTCTTTCATTCTTTTTCCGTCGATTCTCCCGCGAGCGCGAACCTTCTCGAAGACGTCGCCGATTGCGTACACCGAGCACGATCGGCTCACCCGGTTGCGCGTTATGTAATGTGCCCGACAGAGAAGGAAGGACGAAGGGAGAGAGGAGAGGGGAGAGAGAGAGAGAGAATCGTCGACTAATCTCGTATACGGTGTTATACGGGAGCTGAACGTGCGCGTATATGTGTGCGTGCGTGCGTATGTACACGTACGAATACGGACGGTAAATAAATAAAATGCGTAGGAGCGCGCACGCGCGGCGCAACGACTCGTGGAATGCCACGCCTGTCGGCGGGAAAAATCCGGGACATCCTTGTAAAACTGGCCGTTGCGCGATCGGGAGGAAAAAGTCCGACTAGCTTGCATTCTTGATGCATCGTCCGCGACGAAATCCGCGATGAATATCCACGCACGCCGGCGTTTGCATTCCAGACGCTCCGAGTCTCTCTCTTCGCCTTCTCTGCCGTTGAGAAATCGCGAGATTAACGCTCGACGTTGGTCGGACTTCAAGCGCCGACTGATTTGCGCGATTTACCGAAAATCGGGAGAAAGATATCGTCGGATGTCGTATTTTCCTTTGGTTTATTTCAACAGTCGCTCGTGTACACGAGGCTTTAACATTTATCAGCCTTAGACCCATTAGTGTAACACGAGCAATTTTATCTCTGAGATGAAGTGTTGAGTGAATCGAGCGATAAATTCAAACATTACCGTGTTGGGTCAGCTGTGCGATCGCTCCGCTAGGATAGAATGTCGAGCTTGTTTTACACAAGCAAGATACCGAAGGAACGCGACAAATTTGCCGAAAGAATCAGGACAATTACAGCCGAGGCGAAAGCTCGCGACGCTTTCGCCTCGGTGAATCCCGAAACGCGCATCGGGTGGAAAAATTTTTAAAGAAAATTTATCTTCTGATAATCACAAAGACACACGGGGAAATTCCTCTAATCGGAAGCCAGCAAAATATCGCAACCTCCCATACCACCGACCATACCAGCTCGAAATCGAGTTTGTCCGACACGACGCGAGTTATCCCGACGGCTCCTCTTTTGCAGCGCACCTAGCTCATGAAGGACGAGATCCCCCCCCCCGTGAGGATCAGATACAACTCGCGCGCGAAATAATCAACTCTGACACGCGCGTGAAGTACGCGACCGGCTGACCGGCAGCCGTGTCCATGGAACGTATGACTGAATACGGTCAGCTCGCGAATTGACATCGGATACGTATAGCGGGACATGGGCGGTTTCGAAGAATGCGTTTCCTTCCTGCCGATACGCCGCGGTACGCCGTATATGGGCGCGTAATCGCCGTGCGGAGATGCGCGATCGTCGCGCGGGTGTTTTATAAGTACGCACTCGGCGCGCTCGCGCTATAAAATGACTCACATCGCGATTCCAATTCCATTCATGCGCCGCAACAAAGTGGGAACGCCGTCGACGGCGACGGCGACGGCGACGTCGACGGTGCAAGAGCGGGACTTTCGCGATGCGTAGAGACGGGAGCGGCCGTAGCCGCGGGGGAACGAGAGAGAGAGAGAGAGAGAGAGAGAGAGAGAGAGAGAGAGAGAGAGAGAGAGAGAGAGAGAGAGAGAGAGAGAGAGAAGCTTACGCAACGAGCGACGAGAAAACGTCGGTTTTGCATTTCTTCGAATCAAGTTCCATTTAAAGCTATAGCCTCGTCCCGTTTCGATTCCGTTTTCACGGGGGGGGGGGGGTTCTTGTTTACGTCGGCCGTGCAGTGCGGAGCCACGTGGGGAAAAATTTCTGATCGAACGAAACGATTTTCTGGCGAGATACGAATGACGCAGAAATTCCGGTCGAGGTTATCAGAATCCAGTCTAAAGGATCCAGACTGATCTGATAAACTCTGACGGAACGCTGGTATTTTCAGTCCGAGTTTCTGCCTCGTTCATATTTCACCGGCAAATTTGGTCCTTCGTGCATGATTTGATGTAACATCTATGTTGCATGTAACGAATGAAACATGTGATCGATAGCGAGCCGATGAGCTGACAGACTTGTGTATTATGAATATTTCTCTCATTGGATCATTGTTGATCAAATATAACGCGAACATCACTACGCAAACATTCACCGCACGATTCCGCCAGCGGAAGGGCAGTCTCGTCGCACGATCAACGGAGATGTGATATTTGCGTCAGTTTAAAGTTGAATCATTAAGCGTCTTTCGAATATCAAAAGTCTGCGGGAAAGAGAGAAACAAAAATAGCGGGGGAGAAATAAGCAAAATATTTATCACAAAGCCCGCAAACATCGAATTCCACAATTTCTCTCGAATGGAATCTGACGATTGTGGTCGTTGGAATTTTATGAAACAACGTTTGCTCGGTTTTCAGACACTTTCAGACACTTCCATCATTTCCTGCGTCTGCGTTGTTTCATAAAGTTCCTCACGACGTCATGAAAATATATTCGCCTCGTCAGTGACAGTTTACGACCATCCGTCCTGACCTAATCGATCACGTAACCTTCCGTTCCCACAGGTAAGCACCTGGTGCTGGTGACGGACCCTGAGATCGTCGAGGACGCGTACGCCTTCGACAATCCTTGCTTCAAGGATGCCACGCCTGCGGTCGGCCGCGTCACGGAGAGGCCGCTGTCGGCTGTGCCCGGCGACACACCCGCCAAAGATTCCACGCGATGGTCCACACCCTGGACCTCCCTGGGCCTCGGCTCGGCCATCCGCAGCGACAAGCGCCGGACCCTCGACGACTCCTGCGTCGGAGTAAGATCCTTCGTCTGATCATTCGCCTCTGCTGGACGGAAAGACATAATCGCCGCGTCCGTCGCGTATAACTAATTATGTTCTCGTTTCTCAACGATTCTACGCTTTCCTTTATCTTCTCCGATCAAGTCTGCTTCACATTACCTGCGGCGACGAGACGGCGATCAAAATAGAGCGAACGTTACGACGTGCGGAAGCAAGGAAGACGCTAATCTGATCGAAACGCGGGAAGTTGACTCTTTAACGCCCGACTTTTTATAAGTGTTTAATTAAGAATAAAATTTGAGTTTTTTTGAACTGAGACTATAAGTAGTGATAACCAAAAAAAAAATATCAGAATTGTCTACGAAAAATCTACGAAAAACTACCTTTCCAAGTAGAAACTACTCCCAGAAGCGAAAAATACGCCTGATCGGTTAAATTTTTATTTTAGTTTTAATAATTTTACCTAATAATCATACCTAATGATTGGAAAAATTCCTCGAAACATAAAGTTCATATTCAGAACTTGATCTTTATTTACCCGGAATGGAAAATAATAAATGAATACATGAAGTTTCCGCTTTTCGTTTGTTAGTTTCGTTAGTTGTTTTTTTTTATCGTTCGTTTTTTGTTTATTGGTAAATATGACTTGAATCTTAAAAACATATACGAAATGAGCAACCTATACAGAGAAAAATGAAGGGTAATCTATACGACTTAACTCTGATAGTCAGCTTGACAATTTTGAGCTGAAAATTTACTATATTTGTGAGTGAAGTTTATCATTCAGAGCGTCAAGCTTACTATTTCAGAAGAATATCTTATAGATCACCATTTAGATAGTCAGTCGTCCCTTCATTTTTCGTCGCATAAAAAATAGTGTAGGTTTCACCAGGTTTCACGAAAATAGGTTGATTTTTTTATTTTCATGTCCATCATATTGGATTCGCCATTTTTAATTTCTGTATTCTTTCAATTTCACATTTCGCATCTGAGAAAGCTTCCAAATGTATAAAATTATAACAGATACCAATCTATTCATTTATAGTGCACTTCTAGATGTCAGTAACAACTATGCTAACTATGCCTTGGAACTTGGAATTTGACAAAACATGTTATCATTAAAACTGAGCTAAAAACAGACTAAACCGAATCTACATACAATCTATATACTATTTTTTAGAAGAAGAATTCATCTTTACACTGGTGCAAAGAAAACGAAAACATCTCCTTTTTTCACTAAGTTATGGGTTCTTAAGTGCGTTTCTGGTAACTATAGTTACCAGTAGGCGTTAAAGGGTTAAACGGTGTGCCTAAGATGTTGATTTACTCGATGAGTTTTAGTCAGAGGCGTTTCGCAGTTACTCGGTCGACTCGTCGAGTCACTTTTCTTCCGCTCGTCGGAGATAAGTGCGATTTGGTCGTTTGAGCGAATCCAGATCAATGGCTCGAGAGCCGTCTCTCGTGTCGTTCCTAAAAATAACGGACATGTTTCAGCGGCTCGGCGCTTAGCTCTTTTCACGTGGACTCTTTTCACGTGGAATCGATATAACTAACGTAATCCGATAATAACGTTATCTGTGCAAATATACAGCCCGTGTCTCAGCGCAACAGCTAGTCGCGCGGTGACTTTTAATTGAGGATTATCGGCGAGCGACCGAGTTATTTTGTGTGGGCTGGACGATAAATCCCGCGTTTGCGAAGCCGAGGAAGTATCAAACGCGCCGACAGTTCCTGTCGGGGTCACGCAATGCCGCTCGCGTGATAATCGGAGGGCGAACTGTGAACGGAGGCGATACGTAACATTGATGAACTCTTACGACCCAATCCGAGCGTACACGAAGCGCTCATTCTCGACAGAACACTTGAGTAAATTCCAGACACGGACGATTAAACCTCTTCTCTCCATTAACATTCATTAGGCAAAACTCCTCCTTCCAACGAGCACCCTCGACAGAAGAGTGTCACCTGAACGAGAACTTTGCTACTCGAATATTCTTCAGTGTATGTTTTGAAAATTACAATCGGGGATATGAAACGTTATCTCCTTTTGTTGTCACTTCATTTAACAGTCGGCCCTATTTTGTGCTAAGATAATAAATAAATCGCACAGACGATAAATCTGACAGAGATCTGCCGAGATCGACCCCCTCCGGGTTGGTCACAATACCCAACAGACACGCGTTCGGGTTACAAGGTATCCCCGTTGCCGTTACCAGACAGCCTCCAGCTTCTTTATCCATCCTAACACTTGCTAATTTGCTCTTCACCATTTTTTATGCACGTTAATGCCAAGTGAAGGGAGTATCGTCGCGAGAAGCGGAGAAGAACAGCGGGGAAATGAGATACACCGCGGCCATTTTTCACGGCAGGATAACGCCGCGGCTAACGAAGCGGCGGAGAATTAAATTTACGATCATGCGACCGCGACTTATACCGCGAAAAGTACCCGGATACCCTGTGACACGGACGGAAATGACACGACGACGAAACTCGTCAATGGGCATGAGTCCTCTTTCATAAGAATATGACGTATCTCCTTCGTCCACTTGTCCGTGGCTTATTAGCTTGTCATCGTCGCGATTCCCGTTCATTGATCGTCACACGTCGGCGACTCGGGTCGCGCTCGTACTCGGCTTCGCATTTATCTTGCGAGTCCTCACGTCGGGAAGCACGACTCGCACATACACATACACACACATGGACGGACAGACAGACAGACAGACAGACGCACGCACGCACGCACGCACGCACGCACGCACGCACACATGCACACCATAATGCAGCTCCCGTTGAGCGTCCTCATCAGCCGTGTAACAATCGAGCGTCCGTTTTGTTGCTTCAGCCCAAGGCCACCAGGGTCAGCGTAGTCAGTCTGCGTAGCCGTGACTTCACCGGACTGGGCTTTAACGTGTGCGGTAACATGAGGGAAGGCATCTTCGTCAAGGACCTGCTGCATCGCGGCCCCGCCTCCGAATCTGGACTGATACATCCTGGTTGGTATCTTCGCGGTCTAAGTGTCTTCCTAGCGTCAGCCCTCGAGTCGATCATCCCCTGCGAGATCTTGTACTAGAGTGTATCTTGCAAAAGTCATTTTTGCTTTTCCGAAAGTCTGTCATATCGTCAAGCCGAATTTCATTTGGCTTGAGATTGTAAGAATGTCGTGATGTAACACGTCTTCCGGCACTTTGCAGCCTACAAGTTGAAGATAAACGTTGAAATCTGGAAGACTTGGATCGGGATCACCGATGTTCCTCTCAAGGAATACAAGGTTGAAATAGTTTGAGAAACAGTAACAAAAATACAAATGCAAGAAAGAAGGAGAGAGAGAGAGAGAGAGAGAGAGAGAGAGAGAGAGAAAGTAACATAATATTTTAATTTAATTCAAAAAACGCGTAAAGCAATTGGAGGCAGCCCGATCTTCAGTTCCATTTACACGCTCAGATTTGTCGCGCGATAATGGTGCAACGATGATTTTCTCTTTGGCCTAGAGGAGCGTAGCGTAGCGTTTCCGAGAAACGGCGATCGCGCCGGCGCGATTAGCCCAGCGAATTATAATTCAATGGTTCAATTAACGTTTAAATATGTCTCCCGCGACGAGACTCGTCCGCGGAACCAAGAATCACCCACATACCTACATTCCACAGTGAAAGCAGCGTGTTACCGCCGCATTCGTGCGTTTGATAATGCGTGTCGGGAGGCGATTAGGATGAGGCATTAAGTCCTCGTTTTAAGGCGCATTTGTTGGCGTAAGTGGAGTGCGCGAATCGCCTTTGTGAATCGTGCTTTGTTATCGATGTCCCACTTGCGGGGACAAACGCTGCAGACTCGCAGAGTGATTTTCATCTCGAATGATTAAGAAAGGAGAAGGTATGTCAGGCCATTGAGGATTATCGTTCCTCCACGAGATCCCGATTGGTGCAAAGTTGCCGATCTGACTGGCCTTCAGATTGAAAATGAATCATTTTTCCTCACCGAGTGATTTTATCACGTTTGTCCATCGTTTATCTCCGAACAAGGAAAGAACACTCGGGATAGTTTATAATCTATGATCTGCGCAAATGTCACCTCGCGGACGTGTCTTTTTACTCCGATGTACTTTGCGGCAATTTGAAATTCAATTCTTCATCTACTTCCCAGTCTGAAATTTGAAGATTGGACTTGTCGTTTCTCTAGTTGCGATTTCCACAGATTCCGATGAAGCCCAGAACTCAACTTTCACTTCCCAGAAACACGTTAGTCGATTGCAAGCTCTTGACCACTCTCTTTCTTCTGCAGGTGACCGCATCTCCAGCGTAAAGATCAGCTTTCGCAACATGGTGTACGAGGACGCGCTGACGATCCTGAGTTACGCCTCGCCGTACGACGTGGAACTGGAAGTGGAGAGCGGCGGTAACGGCTCGAAGCCGACGACGTTGCTGAAGAAGAGCATCGGTCCTAGCTCGACGAGGATATGCCACCCTCTCTACAGGAGCCAATCGATCCCGGAGCTGTCGCAGGGCCACAAGAACGTGGCGAAGCGGCTCTTCATGGCCGACCCGAACGACTCCGTGGGCTCCAATTACTCGACGATGAACTCGACCCAGAAATCAAGCAAGTCGCCCGTCGCGACCGGCCAGAGCCTCGAAAGGCGTCATGACGAGACGAAGAACAATCATCACAAGTTCGGCATCAAGGTGCTGCCGGCGCTCGATGGCACCGTGCACCGTATCGAGAACCAGAACGAGCACAACACGAACCTAGAGAGAAGACACTCGCGAAAGATGGACGCGGAGAAGCTGCTGGTGGCGAATCGTCAGTCCTCATCGAGCGACACGCCGTCGGATGACAGGAAGGTTTACAGCGAGCGTTATCAGCAACGCGACGATTCGGCCTCCACAAGGATCACCGTTGACTCGCGAAGCGTCGACGACTTGGACAAAAGTACGATCGGCAAAAGCGCAAGCGAGACGATCAACATACCGTCCGAGGTGCCGGCGGAGGTGCACAACGCGGCCATGGCAGCGCGCAGAAATCGCAAAAGCTACCCGGAGACGCTGAAGACAAGCTCTCTGGAATCGGAGGGCGGCAAGAGTCCGCAGAAGAACAAGCGGAAGGCACCCGCGCCGCCGAAGAACACCGTAGATGCCGCGGTCGCGCCGGCCACGAAGAAGGACGCGATGATCGACACCATCGATAGCATCGCCGATTACACGGAGTCCTTGTGTAACTACGTGAACAAGGTGCGCGACAACCACGCGGCCGAGCGGCAACACCGTCTGGAGAGCCAGTCGATGGCGAATAGACGAAACTCCGAGTCTGACACCGACAGCGAGATGCAGAACAGCTTCACGACGATCGAGCTGAACCCGGCGGACATTACGATCCATCGCACGCCGGTGCCGGAGGCAAACGACGACGAGGAGGACGAAGACGACATGTACAGGAAAGCGGCCAGCTTGGGCGACCTCTCAAAATACGAAAGCAAAGCCGCCGCGACCTTGGAGAGGGCGCAGAGCCTCGACATGACCGCCGCTGACACCGGCGCGAAGAAGCGCAAAGCGCCATTGCCGCCGGAAGACATTAACGAGTCCACAGAGGACCTCAGCAGACTCGATCAGATCGATACGTTTGACCGGCGGAAGCTGAAGAAGTCCAACGAGTGGGGCACTCTGGAGGACGTAATTTGGAGCGAGGATAGCACCGTGAGCGCCGAGGCGGATGAAAAGGCGAAGAAGACGCGGATGAGGAAGAAGAGCAACGGCACCCTGGAGCGTTCCAAGTCCGCGGTGGAGATCAAGCTGAAGGATGAAGTCGCTACGGCGACGGTAGCGGCCGAAAGACAGCCCGACGACGGCGGCGACGATGACTCGTCAGAACACGAGACCAGCATCGAGCTGTACAATCTGCCGTTGAGCAAGCGACTGACCCAGGAGTTTATTCATGCCGAACGGACGTTCAATCCGGACGCGGACAACTCTCTGGCGAGAATCGTAAACGACGGCAAGGTCGTGAAGAGCCCAACGCTGGAGGAGATGGACTTGGATTTTCAGTTGGCCAAGGACAAATGCGGGGAGGAGGTCGGGAACGGAGCAGCGGAGAGCGGTGTGTCGGATAAGTCGGAGGACTTTAGCCGTGCGTTGCGCTACTTCGAGATGCACGCGAGCGCGTCTCCGACGCCGCCGTCCTCGGTGAGAGTCAGCTTATCGCGATCGGACGACTGGAAGGAAGAGAAAACGGTGAATGACGCGTCGCTCTACTCGAGTAGGCAACCGGTGACGGAAGAGCCTGTGTCAAAGGTCACCGTAGACCGGGGTTGCCGGGGCTGTCACGACAGCTGTGCCCGCCAAAGCGTTGACTGCGACCGCGAGAAGGTCAACGGACAACGTCGCGCGACTCCTACGCGGATATCGTCGCCAGGCGGCACGGACGCATCGACCGCGAAGGAAAACTCGGACAAAGAGACAGAGCGGATATCTACGCCGACGTACCTGCGAGTTCACGTGTCTTCGAGACCGGAGGGGATTAGCAGATTCCGGTCGAGGGAGGACTCGTGGGAAGAAAACACCGATAGTGGCAAGAACGGAGGCGCCTTCTCGACGTTCCAAGCACACCGAACCAAGTTCGAGCAGCGGACTGCGGAGCAGCACGATAGGAGCTTGACTACGAAGTCTAAGTCGCCGAGCGATGGAACGTTCGACATGCACTTTGCCCGACGCGTGCTCAACATCCAGGAGAATGAGAGCGGCAATCGCGACGGGAACGAGGACGATGTAGTGGAGGATGAGGACGAGTACGAGTTCGGCGGAGACACGGGGCTGAGGACGAACAATAGGGGCTTGTTCTCGTCGAAGGAAGAGGACCGTCGCAACGCCAGCAACGTCAGCAACGTCAGCGTGTCGAGCGGGGAAAACAGCGAGGACAGCGGCTTGGTGAGGGAATCGATGGACTATCATCCACGAGACTCAGGCTGCTCGCCTTCGTCATCGCCGAACGCCGTTCAGAAAGCGACTTACATCACGGAGATCAAGGTGTCGTCCAACAGGGAAAGCGCTCGCGAGGTCGACAACGAGAACCAGGACGCGACCATCGGCGGCAACGCCATCAGCAGCGCTGTGGAGAGCAACGGCGGCGAGCCGCGGAAGTCGTTGGTGCAACGAGACGTCAAGGTCACGTCCAACGGTAAACCTACGTCCGGCAAGAAGCCGCCGGTGCCGCCGAGACGATCAGACATCGCCAAGAGCCCGAGAGACGAGCGACTCAGCGACAAGCAGGTCGTTTACGTGTCCGAATATAAGTCCGCGAACGCGCTCAAGGGCCCACAGATATTGGACGCGCAACCGGCGGAGAAGCAGCCGGACAGCGCCGGCAAAAAGTTCGAGCATTGGATCTTCGTGGCCGACAAAGAGCAAGGTCGCTGGAGCGCCGCCGCCGGCCAATCGCAGCCCGTGACGAACATCGTCCTGTCGTCGAGGGACGATGCGAAATAGCACTCGTGTGTCGACTCAAAGTCACGTCATTCAGAGGAACATTGTCAGCATGATTAACGTTGTCGGTTGTTAAAGGTGTTGTTGACGTCGTTGAACAACATTGTTAACACGACAGCCTCTCCTCCGGGACCTTGAACTCATGGGCCGGCACTGTCATATCGATTTTTTAAAAGGGTGCCGTCCTTAAAGAGCTCTCTCGTCAGTCTGATTGCAACGTTACGAAGTCCATTTGTTGACACTCTGACTATCACGGACATGCGACCGGCGCCACGATAGCGCCGCGACTCACCAACTCTCGTGTCAAACGTGATCGACTGCATGCACCGAAAGAAACAATCGAGGAACGAATTGGAAGAACGAAATTACACGTAACAAGTCGGACGATCAGAGACACGTAGTCCACAGGTAGCCGAGTCATATATGCATCATGAAGTGCATTTGTTCACCGTACCTTTGATGAACTTAAGTCGACCAGTTGAAGAAGTGTGATCGTTGCAGATCAGCATGGAAGTCAACGTGTAGAACAATGTCACATCTGGAGACGTGTGCTGGCTGAGTTGATCGAAAACGGAAGCACAACACGAGTCTGCCTCAGGAGTTTCACCGAGTCGTCTCTTGCAAGAGGTGCCTGGAGAATCGATCAAAGCGCGTTACCGTAGTATCGTTCTACCTCGTGAGCATCGCGTCGATCATCGTCACTTAGGAACTCACGCACTTTTGACACACTTCCCAGGCAGCACAAAGCTTCCAAAGGTTGTTGCTTTAACCCGTAACTGCTGTGAAGCCATTTGAAGTACGCGCACACGGTTCACCGGTCAAATTGACCGGTAGGAAACGGAATTGATGAATATCTTGACAAATAACACGACCACACAACTGCGCGTATATCAGTCGACTGACATTCAGAATGTAAGAAAATACACTGACGGATGAATACGCAACTAGAAAATTAACCGCGTTATTTAAATTTCAAATAGTGCAATGGTCAAATTGACCGGAGAACAGCAGTTCGGGTTAAAGACGTTTTACTTTTTCCCCGATATCTTTCAAGCGTCTCTAAGAAGTGCGTGGGTCCCTTGGAAGTCGTGGTCTTTGCGAGATCAGCTGAGGACATATCTTGAGAGTACGCGAGAGAGACGATCGACAGAGTGCTTGAGAGAGACTACGTGCCATAAAGAGAGACAGGTGATTTGTGCAAAGCGTAGAACCAAGTGTATGTAATAAAGTCGCGCGGACTGATCCTGCTGGATCAGTCGAGCAATCTCGAAAATTGTACACATTCCCTCCTGCGATTGTAATTGTGTGTAAATATAGGCCAGTGTAGTCTGTGAAACATGCAGCCATCCCTACTAGTAATTGTATCTCGTGTAGTATGAGAGATCGCGCGTATTTCGTATATCGGGATAACATTTCTCTTTTCCTACTTCGAATCAAAATAACGTTTAACGGTATCGTTGGAGAATCACCGCTCCCCTGTCGTCGCACTTTTCTACAACCGTGTCCTCGGGGCGTCCTTCGCGCGCTAAACGTGATCTTATCGCACTTTTCAAGAAAAATCAACGTCGTTGTATCGCATCGAGCAGCCTTAAGATGTTATACACCGTATAAGTTTCTTTTTTTTATGTTAAGTCACTGACGCATGATAGATTTGAGCGATCGAGAACTGAACGATGAAATAATGCAAGTCGCGCGGGGGCTCATTGAGAAGTTCACGCGATGTAGCATTTTGGTATCGCAACGCATATTTTTAATTCACGGAAACTCCGGGAATGTGAATTATCCTGTTATACGCAACCTGTACATTTCGTTTTACTTAAATAGAAAATATCTCATAAGACACGTCATACAACACACATTCGCTATAAAGTGTTACTGTCGTCGATAAGATCTACAATGAAATAACGCATCTTGTAATAATACCCCGTGTATATTTAGCACGTAAGTGACACATAATCTGTAAATGTGAGCCCGAGGAATTTCTTATTAACTCACTAACGTGCACTCACGCGAATGTAGTTCTCGTGAAAATCTATGTTCTAATTATGCACATGTATCACACGAGCGGCCAGCGTCCCTGCGCGAAACATACGAAGAGTGTAAAAATAGTTAATAAAGTTTCACGCACCATTTGCCCTAAACGCGTCGATGCTCAAGCGAATAATACCGGCGAGATCTTAAATTCGACGATACGATGTAAAGATGCATCATCATATCGTTTCTCTCTATTTTACTCGGCTTTCTTTTTTTCAGAAAAAAAAGGAGCGGAATACGCCACAATGTATTCATCACTGTGCATTCAACCGACGTCGATAAATGCCGTAAATGCTTTACCGTATATATAGTTATCCCACTCTGTCAACGCCTAACTGAAGAAATGTTATCGTTAACTGACGAAAGTCAGTCATTCAGTCTTTCTCTCCTGTAGCTTTATTGTAATATAATTTATTCCTACTAACATTGCTCTGGGGTAAAATATATGTTATTGTCGATAAGTTTGTTAGCTGAAAGATGTATAAATTTTTAACGAATAAAAATGTATATTTTTAGACGTAAATTTTTAGTGTATCGCCAATATATATTTTTTTTAAGTGACAAATATATATTTTCGCCGAAATAATAATTGCTATTGTCCGTTGCAATTATTACAGAGAGATATTCATTTTTCTTCCGTGTCAAATTAGAGAGAAAACTTCAAAACTTAATCGAACTTAAGTCATCTCGTTGTCATACCAAATAGTCTCACATCCATATGTTAGTAAGAGAGAAATACACGTCCCGATAAAGACGGGATGAATGATGTAAAACAGGCACATACATACTCACGGTTCATATCAACTTTACACATAATTTTATCAATTCTTATTTCAGCTATATAAAGATAATACAAGTTGTTACTGTACATAATACATACTTATGGTGACACCATATCTTTTTTATTACGTTTATAATTGTACAGGTATTTTGTGTGAAAAGTTATTATAGATATATGTACACACTTTAAGATTAAATATATACATATATCTCATATTACAAACTAAACTCTTAATTTTTATTTTCTCTTGTCTAAATTAAACATATTTGTCAAATAAATATCCTTCTATATTTTTCATATCAAAATATCGTCATTTGTATTTTTATCGGTAAGTTTGCAATCTGTTGATGATGTTTATACTTGCATCAATTTTGTAACAAAGATATATAATACATACAATTATATATATATTAGTTTATCTCATACTAGTTTTATTAATATAAAATTGATAATCATTGATTTAACAAATAATATATAATTGATATGTAGTTTTATAAAATAATGATATTTTTCTTGTGCGTTTACATTTGGTATAATGTCACAGGCTTTCTGAATATTTTTAGTTGCAAACTTACTCTGCAATAATTATTGCAGCCATATATCAAAATATGGAGCATAATGTATAAGAATTACAAAGTTAGAGTTAATGAAACATATTTAAAGAAACAAAATTCTCAACATAAATATGTGCGTCTGAAAATCACAGTATTAACCAAAGCCATGGTTTAATCCTATATAATAATGTACATGTTGATATAATAAACTCCAGTTTTGAGTTTTATGTTCTATTGTAAGAGGAATTATGTGGCTGACTGTTTGTAATTCTTTATATTTAATAGTCTTTTGCCACACATAGCACATATGCCTTTCTTATATGCACAGGACTGGCAGTAATGAGAACCTACTTGATGAACTTTCTGCCTGCATATCCTACAACTTTCAAATTTTGTGGTATATGGTGTAAATCGTGCTTTTCCTGCAGAAAGGGCTTTATTTTCTCCTACTTTACGACCTCCACTTTCCACTGTGTTCCTTGCACCTGCCTTCCATGGATCTGGGGTAATAACTGTGCCTAATTTCTTTGCACATTTTTCACAAACCATGTTGAAGCAGTTTTGTTGGCGAGATGTCAAAATTATTTATCTGAAAGGATAGGATTTATATGCAAAATATCAAGGATTCACTCGTATAAAATATTAAGGACACGATTATATTATACGGTTACTGTACATTTAATGTTTTGGTACCTATCCCGTTTACTGCTATGCGTAATTACGGAGACGTAAAAATTATCCCCTGTTTGTCGTTTTTATTTCTATATATTGTCAACTTTCGCTTTTTATAATTCTATTTTCACATAAACTGAGATATTGTATGCACCAACTGGTATTTCACTTTATCATGTTTAAATCATGAAAATCACGGTTAAACTTGGTGATATTATGTGAGATTGAGCAATAGACAGATTAATAGAAACAATTGTCCTATCACCAATAATTCTAGTAATATTTATGTGGCAAACGTGATACTTATATATCAGTTACTGAAAAATAGATCTGATTCAATAAATTCAAAAGTATATTATGAACAGACAAGTTTTTATCTCAACAGCTCTTTCACAAGCTTTCTGACGTAGCTTTAACTTAGACTACAAAAAACAAGGCTAACAATTAACTATTCATGACAAAGTGACACAACCTAACCTTTTTGCCTTTGCATTTCCTCCAGCAATGACGGGATGATCCTATAGAGTGTTAATGAGTAAATTTTCGTTAGGGCAAAGGGGACTGTAGATAATTGAAAAACCCTGATAAAACCGACTGCTTTAGCTACGTCACCAACGAAATAATATAAAGACTGATAGCTCTGGGTAAATTTTCATATCAACAAAGGGGATCCCAAGGGGTCCGGAGGTAATTGAAGAGCGATGATAATACCGATTGTTTTAGCTACACTGAAAACAGAAAGGAAGCTGAGAGCGTCCAACATGGCGTTTTCGGCGACACCGATTTTTCGCACTGGGAATGGGCGCTATCTGCATCCATTTTGAGAGGGGAACTACGATGCTACATCCACTTTTAGGTCTCGACGGTAAAACCTGCATCTGGTGGCTATCCGTGCAACATCCACTTTCAGGCGGTTTATGTCCGTACTACAACCATAATAGCGTACTTGACAAGCACGGTCTCGCGCATTGTTATGCATTTGTAACATGAATTAACATGTTAACATGTACAAAAAAAATAAGAATTGAGATTGTATATGATTAATATCATGAAGATTATATACGATTTATATCGATATATAAATATATGATAATAAGATAATATTTTGTGTGTACCCAAAATTATTTTTCCAAAATATTTCAACGTTACGTTAGTATTTATTTATACTCCGGCAGGCGTTTTTTAGCGCAGTTGTGTCCGTGTGCATGTTGCATTGAAAGTATGCGTGACGTACGTGTGCATATACGCACTCACACACACACACACACACACACGTGTCATACGCAACAGATAGAATCTCAGGGTATATGCTTAAACATTTTCAATTGCCGTACGTTTCTATGTAAGAATGTAGTCGGCACACACACACAGAGAAACTGCTCCCGTCTATCCATTTGAAGTCCCGCCCTCCGCTAGGCTTGTTTTGACGAGCCAAGCGAAAGAGAGAGAGAGAGGGAATGTGTTCTCTCTATCTTGCTCTGATTCGCAACGTTGCCGAGATTGTGCTTCCCGACACACGGCCGAGATTGACGTTTCATTCTCGGCGTGAATCCAACGAGATGATCAATAGCAATCGATTTCGACTAAACTCGTTGTGCCGATAGATTTGCATGACAAATTAACATTGCACTTAAAGATACGGCGTAGCATTGAAGCGTTTGCAAGAAAGTTGCGATTGAAAATCGCGAGTGAACCAAATGAAGGAGCGAGCTTCTCAATCAGCGTGTGACTTGGTGGAAGTACGCTGGACTCGCGGGGTTGAGGTCGGTGGTTCGCATCTCTCTGGTGGTCGGCGTTGTTCTTTTTCGCCAATCATTTTTTTTTCGTTTTTTAGGAAAATGCACGTGTTACATACAACATACGTGTATCTCAATAAATTTTTTTTCATTTTTTAAGAAAATACACGTATTGCATACAACACACGGGCATCGCAAGCATTGCACGTTTCGTCGATGACACTTCCTCTGAGACCCCGCCCTCCGCTCGACTTGTTTCGACGAGCCAAGCAAAAGAGAGACACAGAATGTGCTCGCCTCATCACCTCTGTGAAGATGGACCGTCATTATTCAAATTTGAAAAAAATTATTAGAGTTCTGAATGCCCCTCGCAGAGTTCTAGAGTTCGCAATCCTTTATAGAAAGAGTTCCGGCATTTAAAGTAGAGAAAATAACATTTTAAAAATCGACGGAGCAACTTCACGACGCCCCTCATTATGTAAAAAATGACAATTTTTTTAGAGTTCAACATTCCTCCGTTGATATCTCCGCTTCTACTAGGAGTAGAGAGTCGTCCATGTAGTGGAAAATGTAGGGTTTTGAGAGGACTTTAATTTGGTGCCAGACCGAGGCCTGTATCTCTAACCGTTTAGGAGATATCGAAGATTAAAGTTTTCTAACCTTTCTCCGTTGATATCTCCGCTTCTACTGGGAATAGAGAGTCGTCCATGTAGTGCAAAATGTAGGGTTTTGAGAGCACTTTAATTTGGTGCCAAACCGAGGCCTGTATCTCTAACCGTTTAGGAGATATCGAAGTTTAAAGTTCTCCAGCCTTTCTCCGTCGATTTCCAGCCTTCCTCCGACGAAATCTCCGCTACTACTGGGAGTAGAGAGTCGTCCATGTAGTCGAAAATGTAGGGTTTTGAGAGCACTTTAATTTGGTGCCAGACCGAGGCCTGTATCTCTAACCGTTTAGTAGATATCGAAGGTTAAAGTTTTCCAGCATTTCTCCGTCGATATCCGGCCTTCCTCCGTCGATATATCCGCTTCTACTGGGAGTAGAGAATCGTCCATGTAGTCGAAAATGTAGGGTTTTGAGAGCACTTTAATTTGGTGCCAGACCGAGGACTGTATCTCTAACCGTTTAGGAGATATCGAAGGTTAAAGTTCTCCAGCCTTTCTCCGTCGATTTCCAGCCTTCCTCCGACGATATCTCCGCTACTACTGGGAGTAGAGAGTCGTCCATGTAGTCGAAAATGTAGGGTTTTGAGAGCACTTTAATTTGGTGCCAGACCGAGGACTGTATCTCTAACCGTTTAGGAGATATCGAAGGTTAAAGTTTTCCAGCCTTTCACCGTCGATTTCCAGCATTCCTCCGTCGATATATCCGCTTCTACTGGGAGTAGAGAGTCGTCCATGTAGGCGAAAATGTAGGGTTTTGAGAGGACTTTAATTTGGTGTCAGACCGATGCCTGTATCTCTAACCGTTTAGGAGATATCGAAGGTTAAAGTTTTCCAACCTTTCTCCGTCGATATCCAGCCTTCATCCGTCGATATCTCCGCTTCTACTGGGAGTAGAGAGTCGTCCATGTAGTCCAAAATGTAGGGTTTTGAAAGGGCTTTAATTTGGTACCTGTACGAAGCCTGTATCTCTAACCGTTTAGGAGATATCGAAGGTTAAAGTTTTCTAACCTTTCTCCGTCGATATCCAGCCTTCATCCGTCGATATCTCCGCTTCTATTGGGAGTAGAGGGTCGTCATTGTAGTCCAAAATGTAGGGTTTTGAAAGGGCTTTAATTTGGTACCTGTCCGAAGCCTGTATCTCTAACCGTTTAGGAGATATCGAAGGTTAAATTTTCTAACCTTTCTCCGTCGATATCCAGCCTTCATCCGTCGATATCTCCGCTTCTATTGGGAGTAGAGGGTCGCCATTGTAGTCCAAAATGTAGGGTTTTGAAAGGGCTTTAATTTGGTACCTGTCCGAAGCCTGTATCTCTAACCGTTTAGGAGATATCGAAGGTTAAAGTTTTCTAACCTTTCTCCGTCGATATCCAGCCTTCATCCGTCGATATCTCCGCTTCTATTGGGAGTAGAGGGTCGTCATGTAGTCCAAAATGTAGGGTTTTGAAAGGGCTTTAATTTGGTACCTGTCCGAAGCCTGTATCTCTAACCGTTTAGGAGATATCGAAGGTTAAAGTTTTCAACCTTTTCTTCCTCCGTCGATATCTCCGCTTCTATGGGAGTAGAGGGTCGTCCATGTAGTCCAAAATGTAGGGTTTTGAAAGGGCTTTAATTTGGTACCTGTCCGAAGCCTGTATCTCTAACCGTTTAGGAGATATCGAAGGTTAAAGTTTTCTAACCTTTCTCCGTCGATATCCAGCCTTCATCCGTCGATATCTCCGCTTCTATTGGGAGTAGAGGGTCGTCCATTGTAGTCCAAAATGTAGGGTTTTGAAAGGGCTTTAATTTGGTACCTGTCCGAAGCCTGTATCTCTAACCGTTTAGGAGATATCGAAGGTTAAAGTTTTCTAACCTTTCTCCGTCGATATCCAGCCTTCATCCGTCGATATCTCCGCTTCTATTGGGAGTAGAGGGTCGTCATTGTAGTCCAAAATGTAGGGTTTTGAAAGGGCTTTAATTTGGTACCTGTCCGAAGCCTGTATCTCTAACCGTTTAGGAGATATCGAAGGTTAAAGTTTTCAACCTTTCTCCGTCGATATCCAGCCTTCATCCGTCGATATCTCCGCTTCTATTGGGAGTAGAGGGTCGTCCATGTAGTCCAAAATGTAGGGTTTTGAAAGGGCTTTAATTTGGTACCTGTCCGAAGCCTGTATCTCTAACCGTTTAGGAGATATCGAAGGTTAAAGTTTTCTAACCTTTCTCCGTCGATATCCAGCCTTCATCCGTCGATATCTCCGCTTCTATTGGGAGTAGAGGGTCGTCCATGTAGTCCAAAATGTAGGGTTTTGAAAGGGCTTTAATTTGGTACCTGTCCGAAGCCTGTATCTCTAACCGTTTAGGAGATATCGAAGGTTAAAGTTTTCTAACCTTTCTCCGTCGATATCCAGCCTTCATCCGTCGATATCTCCGCTTCTATTGGGAGTAGAGGTCGTCATTGTAGTCCAAAATGTAGGGTTTTGAAAGGGCTTTAATTTGGTACCTGTCCGAAGCCTGTATCTCTAACCGTTTAGGAGATATCGAAGGTTAAAGTTTTCTAACCTTTCTCCGTCGATATCCAGCCTTCATCCGTCGATATCTCCGCTTCTATTGGGAGTAGAGGGGCGGCCATTGTAGTCCAAAATGTAGGGTTTTGAAAGGGCTTTAATTTGGTACCTGTCCGAAGCCTGTATCTCTAACCGTTTAGGAGATATCGAAGGTTAAAGTTTTCTAACCTTTCTCCGTCGATATCCAGCCTTCATCCGTCGATATCTCCGCTTCTATTGGGAGTAGAGGGTCGTCCATTGTGTCCAAAATGTAGGGTTTTGAAAGGGCTTTAATTTGGTACCTGTCCGAAGCCTGTATCTCTAACCGTTTAGGAGATATCGAAGGTTAAAGTTTTCTAACCTTTCTCCGTCGATATCCAGCCTTCATCCGTCGATATCTCCGCTTCTATTGGGAGTAGAGGGTCGTCCATGTAGTCCAAAATGTAGGGTTTTGAAAGGGCTTTAATTTGGTACCTGTCCGAAGCCTGTATCTCTAACCGTTTAGGAGATATCGAAGGTTAAAGTTTTCTA